AAAGCAAATCGGCGTTTGTCCATAGGCTACTCTATAATGACATCATCAGTCATAGTTGATGACTATAGAAAGATTTTATTAATACAATTTATTTATTTTTGTAGGTTTGTATTACAATATGTTACATCATGGTGTTTCCCTAAAGGCTGCAGCAGCAACATGCTACCTCTGTCATTCAATGTCCTAATGACATGAAAAGCTTTGCTGCAGCTGAGCTGAAGACACTAACCTCATGGAAATCTAGAAAACACACTTTTGAGCTCTGAGTGATTGTGTTATTATTTTATTTTATTTTTTTCAATTGTTATTCGTTTATTAATTTATTCACACCATGAAGCAATTTTGGTACAAACAAGTAAACTGTACTACACATTATTTTTCACACGTCTTTCAAAGGGGAAGCCATATAGAATATAGAATAATATCTGGCACAGCCTTCAGTCAGAAACCAATCACCATTCCACCAATCTGTTTACTGCAATGCAGCCGTTATAGCCTACAGTCCTTTTTTCTTTCATCTCAGGGGAAGAACAAACACTGATATTCATGACTAGTATTTTATTTTAAGTTATGAATTACAAGGATCTACAATGCTGCTTCTGCGATATACCAAATATCTGAATTTCATATATTAATTCCAAATATAAATATATAAATCATATAAAAATATTCAGTGTTGTCTTTAGCACAAATGGGGCAAAAACAAACTTGTAAACGGGGGGATAATGATGTGAGACAATTACAGTTATTAGCTATTGAAACTAACTACAACAGGGTATTTTTCATGTAAAATGGCATAATGAACCTTTAGCTTGAATTCAAATTTTGTATTTTGTATTTACTTAAGAACAGATCTCATGGAGATCTGTGACAGATGGCAGATGTTAAAGGGCAACTTAGGCCTTATTAGGGGAATTTAGGCAGGTGACGTGGCGTTGAAAAGGATGTTGTCTTTGCAAATGCTTCTATATATTATATTGTTTGTTTGTATATTTGATATATCGGTCTCTCTCTCTCTCTCTCTTTTACACCCACTCAAAAGCACAGAGCTCCCTTGCAATCAGGTCTCAGTTTTCACTATCTCTTTAGCTACTGTCCTCTTTGGTCCCAGTCCAGTTAAAAAAAAAAGTAAAACAATGTATAAAGCAAGTGCTATGGGAGGTCAGCCCAGTTTAACTGACGAATACATAGTATTTCAAGGGCTGAGGCCAAGAAAGAGTATTAGGTGGCTCAGATAGGTACTCAGGCCTAATCTGGGATTAACAATGCAGCTCCGCAGATTGCTTTAAGGATTTCTCAGGTCTCATTAGCATGGCTGGGACGACCGTGTTGATGCCAGAGCTGGTGATATCTGTATAGTGCCACCAATGCTTGCCACTTTTTTTCAGTGGATCACTAATCTGTGAAAGTGCTGGTTCATCAGGACAAAAATACAGCCTGGCAGCATAGAAAAGGTGTTCCCACAATGCAATTATACACACGTAAATAAATTAAGACAATAAATAACACATTTTAATATTATTTTCAGAAAAAGTTGAAGAATGTAAATTACAATGAATCATAATAAAAAGAAAAAAGTGATATTTAGAAATAAATATGTCCTAAAGACAAAAAGAGTAATTACAAACATTAACGTAACGTTTCAGTCTGTTGTAAAAATGGCAGCTGCATTAGCCAGTTATCATTGCTAATGAATATTAATGAGAAGAGAGCACTACGCTCCGCCCACGTCCACATTGAAAGCTCTGAGCTGTCAGTCATCTGAGGAGCTGAGGACTCCTGGACGCATCCTTTTTTTAATTAGTCTATTAAAAATTTGGAAATCAAAGAATCACACATCATCTCAGTCTAACGAAGACTGCTAATGACAGCAAAAGTGGGTGAAACCTGATGGCCAAAAATGCAAAGACGAATTAGTTCTTTAAAGATGGGATTTTACATAATACTGAGCAGGATCACCAACTGCTTCAACCAAAGAGCAACTTGAACAGGAATTTTGTCTGAATCTGGTACTCTAAATCTGTTTCCAGTTAATTTCTGACTTCTAAATATTGTTGCGTCACAGGTAAGTTTAATAAATTACATGGTTACTAGATTAGATGGTGTAAAGGATATAAATATATAAATGCTATAAACGTGTCAATTTCCCGAATACGAATGCTTATTTGTTGTCCGTTGGTGTTTACGAAAGAATTTATCGATGAGTCGCTAAATAAGTCTTCAAGATACTGAAATACTGCATAATGTATTAATAATAACTAAGGCTCGTAACAAATGTAAATACGTTAACAGGATTCTCTCTAGCCAGAGCGTTTCTGGCGCACGTGCAGCAGTGCTCAACTTTCCAACTAAACCGTTTAGTGAAAATAAACCAGTCCAGATTTTCACTTGTCAATGGGGGAAAGAATGACGCAATAGTGACACTTTACATTACAGTGCCAATATACTGTTAAAAACGGCCACCTTGACCATAAGATAAAAAAACGTAAATTATTATTTATACAGTAAAATATTAAAACAATAAGTAAAAAGAATATATTAACTATACTTCACGAAGAAAATACATTACATTATTGTACTATTCATTTAACAAGAAATACACAGTTAATTTACTCTTTTTTTAAAATATGATTTAGCATAAACACTAAGCATTTAAAACAAAAGGATGAACGGAGCTTACTTGTCTGTGTTAAATGTATGATGACAGTACAAATTATTGAAAGAAAGGCCACACTGGGCATGTCAGAGTGTTGATTTATTATTTAGGGTGGGCAGTGGGGACTTCAGATCCTCAGGTAACAGAACCCTGGTGGGTTGGAAATCAGGACTGCAGACAAGAAGTTGCTGGGTGCCCTCAGCATTAGCATCTTCTGGATTTGGAATAGATTAGTCTAATTACACTAATCTTCCCTCAACAATATGATAAAACTAATCATCATTAGATAGAGAAAGCGCAGCATCGCCCTTCTGGTCAAAGACGCTGAAACCGTGGTGTATAACCGGGTTAGGAAATTTCTTGCCATATGAACAAATAAACATTTTTTAAAATCAATATACCACTCAGTTTAACCAAAAATCAGTTTACAGCCAATCCTTGCTATATACAGTTTTATTTAAGAGTTCTGTATAAATGGTGGCTTGATATCAGGTGACTTTAAAGTGCATCTGGGTCATGATCTATCAGAGAGATGGGCCGCTGATCTTGTTTAGTGTTTAAGCAGTGAGTATTTTTAGGCGGTGTGTTCAGATGGCAATGCTGTCAGTGTGGAAATGAGTTTGCAGAGATCAAGTCAAAAACAGGTTCTTGTAACCTCTTCAGATTTTAATTCCACTGAACTTTGGGTTCAGCTGATACGACATTACTATCTGCAATAATAGCAGCCCATTGAAAGCCTCATTACATTATGCTTCTGAGAATTATTTCTAGGATCAAATACATGCTTTACATTTTTAATAATTCATGGCCTTTTGTTATGGTGTTGTCCTTTGTTTGACATGTCTTGTCAAGTGCTGGATGCCTAGAATAGGCAAAGAGAAGAAAGACAATGGCGAAGATTTGTACAGAGCAGTCCTACCCATCCCAACACAGGCTTTCAGACCGAGCCTCTGAAGATGAACTGGATCGGACTGAAAATGGTGCAAGCAGGTCAGAATAACAAGAGGATCTTAAAGGGGTCATATGGTACATTTTTTTTTATCTTTTTTGAGCATCACTTACAATGTTCATGATTTTGCACTAAAAAAGTTAATGAAAATAGATTTTCAGAAAATCAGGAAACATAATTTACCCCCCAACATTTCCCAGGGCACATTCTCTATGTGAGGACACTTCCTCTGACATGCAGGGGATCATTTCTTCTGTAGCCAGCCAGTTTCAGGAATCCAGGAGAAGCTCATTCACAGGTGCTGGGGCTATGGCAAGGTAACATCAAATCCATCCAAACCAAAGCTTGAATGTAGTTTGCCATGTGAACCGTGATTACAACTAAGCTAAGTCAAATGCACACTCAGCAGATTTTACCATACAAGCTTTATGAAGGGAAGTGAAACACATCAACAAAACTGTACAAAACTTGTAAATGTTAAGTGTGCATTTGACATGGCTTGAACAGAAAGCTACATACTGTATAAAGAGCTTGGAAGTATTTCTGTTTGACATCTTTCGGTCTCCCAGGCTCACCCACTTTCTGGTAATGCTGAGGAACTGGGCATCACACAGGCTTCGCAGAGAGCTTGAGCATCCCGACTCCTTCTTGGAGCGATACCGTGGACCTGACCTCAAAGACTTATCTAGTCGAGGAAGTAATGGCCAATCCTCTATAGGCCTTCCTGACAGGCCTCATAAGAGGAAGTAAGTCAAGAAAAAGGTTTTCTGTATGGTTTCTTTATACAGGCAGAGATGCCTTTGGTATAGAGTCCTTGAAAATGAAAGAATCATGCAGAGAATCATGGAGAGAATCATGCTGCATCTGTGCAAAAATACAGTATATCCGTACTGTGTGCAGATGATTCATAAAACAGATCACAGAGCTGAGGATTCATTTAATAATAATAAAAAAACTGGGTTGGAGTTTAAAATCGGAGGTTAAAATCCGAAAACAGTATGTAGATTTCCATGTAGAAACCCCCTTTAAGTAAAACAGTATCACAATAAATTGTAGAATAGAAACAAATGGAAACAGATGTTCACTATAGATATAGATAATAAATCAGCAGTAGTGAAGATCTATAGGTATTGTCCCAGAATCAGATCCCTCAAAATGTACTCCACGATAATAACAAAAACGAATGACTTTTGCTCCATAAGAAAAGCCAATCACTGGCCTCTGGCAGCTTACAATATGAACAACTGCAACAACAGACGAGTAAGTACCATGTAGAAACAGCTCCTTTAGATATAAACCCCTATATAGTGCATTATATATGACAGAAAAATAATTAACATGTGGATATGATAGATGCTAGATTGTAGAATCCTAAATAATAAACTTATCTCAAATATGAAATTTATAAAAACAGATGATAGTCTGACCTGTTTAGTACATTGCCTTAATAGTGTTCAGTGAATATTGGTGCTGCCCTCTGCAGGTTAACATGAGAGTTTACTAGTGGTAGTTCACACTAGTGATTTTTAGATACCAGACTAGTTTACTAGCTAATTCAAATAAAAACAACCCAAAATGTTACCTTCAGCAAAAAGGAGGACAAAAAGGAAGAAATAAAAAAAGATGAAGACAAGAAGGAAGAGAAAAAAGATGAGAAGGAAGAGAAAAAAGATGAAAAACAGGATGAGAAAAAAGATGAGAAAAAGGACGAAAAGAAGGATGATAAGAAAGATGATAAAAAGAAAGATGCTCCTCCTCAGCCGTGAGTATGCCACAAATGAAATTTTTAATGATAGTATAGTTTTAGTACTACTAATCAGATAATGATATTGATTATTCACAGATGAATGGTGTGATTTAGTATGTGTTCATTTTTGAAAGTGGCCAGACGATAATCTAAGATGTGTTTTAGGAAAGAAGTGTGGATCATGGATCCAGCCTCAGACAAGTATTACAGATGGCTTTCGGTCATAGCAGCCCCAGTGTTTTACAACCTGATGATGCTGGTGACAAGGTCCGTTCATGCAGAATCTCTCATGAAATCAAGAACTTGAGATGTGGCACGTGCTTCATTGTTTATATTTCTTTAGGGCCTGTTTCAATGAGCTTCAGAACTCTTACACAGTGCTTTGGATCGTCATGGACTATACCTCAGATGCAATCTATTATGTAGACACGTTTGTCAGATCAAGAACAGGTAGGGTGATTTTTCAGAAAGAATTAAAATATTTTATGAATAATATTATATTTAATATTTACTATCAATGTTAATAAATAATATTGATTTAATATACCCATTATATATACATATTAAATATTATATAAATATATAATATACAACATATAAATGCTGTTCTTGAAATTTCTATTCATCAAAGAACCCTGAAAAAAAAAGTATCACAGTTTCCACAAACTGTGGAAGCACAACTGTTTTCAAAGCTGATCATCAGCATATTAGATAAGGATTATATGACACTGAAAACTTGAGTAATGTCTCCTGAAAATTAAAGTTTGCATCACAGGAATATATTACATTTTAAAATGTATTATTATAGAAAATATTTATTTGAAATTGTAGTAATATTTCACAAAAAGTACTGCTCTACTGTATTTGTAATTAAATAAATGCACCCTTGATGAGCATAAGAGACTTCTTTCATACCACAAGCTTGTCAAATTTATATTCACATTTTTATTCTGCCTTTTTCAGGCTTCTTGGAGCAGGGTCTCCTCGTCAAAGATGCTAAGAAGTTGATGGATAATTACAGGAAAATCCCCCAGTTTAAATACGACATGTTTTCAATGATCCCGACAGATTTATTAATGCTGAAAGTGGGATTCAACAATCCTGAACTTCGCTTCAACCGCCTTTTCAAGATGGCACGTCTCTTCGAGTTCTTCGACCGCACAGAAACCCGCACAAACTATCCAAACATTTTCCGTATCAGTAACCTTGTACTTTACATCCTGATTATCATTCACTGGAACGCTTGCATTTTCTTTGCTATTTCCAAAACGATTGGCTTTGGGACTGACACATGGGTATATCCAAACATCAGCCACCCTGAATACGGCCGCTTGGCCAGAAAATACATCTACTGTCTGTACTGGTCCACTCTGACTCTCACCACCATCGGAGAAACGCCACCTCCTGTTAGAGACATCGAATACTTGTTTGTCGTTATGGACTTCCTCATCGGAGTGTTGATTTTCGCTACCATCGTCGGTAACGTCGGCGCCATGATCTCCAACATGAACGCTTCTCGTGCTGAATTTCAGGCCAAGATTGACTCCATCAAGCAGTACATGCAGTTCCGTAAGGTCAGCAAAGACCTGGAGGCCTGGGTCATCAAATGGTTTGACTACCTTTGGACAGAGAAGAAAACTTGTGATGAGAAGGAAGTCTTGAAGAATCTCCCAGACAAGCTCAAAGCTGAGATAGCCATCAACGTCCATTTAGATACACTGAAGAAGGTGCGAATCTTCCAGGATTGTGAAGCTGGACTTCTCATTGAGTTGGTGTTGAAGCTGCAACCTCAGGTGTTCAGTCCTGGAGACTACATATGTAAAAAGGGTGACCTTGGCCGAGAAATGTACATCATCAAAGAAGGCAAGCTTGCCGTAGTGGCCGATGATGGCGTCACGCAGTTTGTGGTGCTCAGTGACGGTGCTTACTTCGGAGAAATCAGTATCCTTGGAATCAAAGGCAGTAAAGCCGGAAACAGAAGAACGGCGAACATTCGTAGCGTGGGCTATTCTGACCTCTTTGCGCTGTCTAAAGACGACCTTGTGGAAGCGCTTACTGAATACCCAGATGCCAAAAAAGCCCTGGAGGAGAAGGGAAAGGCCATCTTAAGGAAAGACAACCTTCTTGATGAGGCAGTTGCTGGTGCTGGTGCCGATCCCAAAGATCTGGAAGAGAAGATTCACCATCTAGAGAACAACCTTGAAGTCATGACTGGTAAATTTGCCAAGCTTATGGGAGAATACACATCCTACCAGAGCAAAATGAAACAGAGGATCACCAACATGGAGAACAAAGTGAAAACACTACGGGTAGAAGATCTGTCGGAGGTTGTTGAGGACAAAAAAGAAGAGGAGAAGACGACAAAATAGTCAGCAGCATAGACATTGGGGTAAATGGGGTTTCCTATCCATGTACATATTTCTTAACATAGCACATTACTTTTAAACTGTTTATACTTATCTATTTATAAATTTTACATGACATTGTACTAATTGCCATATATGTGACCCTGGACCACAAAACCAGTCATAAGGGTACATTTCTCGAAATTGTGGTTTATACATCATCTGAAAGCTGAATAAATAAGTTTTCCATTGATGCATGGTTTGATAGGATAGGACAATATTTGGCCGAGATACAACTATTTGAAAATCTGGAATCTGAGGTTGCAAAAAAATCTAAATATTGAGAAAATCGCCTTTAAAGTTGTCCAAATGAAGTTCTTAGCAATGCATAATACTAATCAAAAATGAAGTTTTGATATATTTATGGTAGGAAATTTACAAAATATCTTCATGGAACATGATCTTTACTTAATATCCTAATGATTTTTGGCATAAAAGAAAAATCGATAATTTTGACCCATACAATGTATTTTTGGGTATTGCTAAAAATATACCCAAGTGACTTGAGACTGGTTTTGTGGTCCAGGGTCAGATGTGTTCTCATGTGTATTTATTCAATATGTGCAGTATAAACAGCTCAGATGACAGAAAGCAGGACAGAGATACACTACCATTCAAAAGTACGGGGTCATAAATATTTTAAAAACAGCAATATCCTGAAATATTATTACAACCGTTTTCTATTTAAATCTATTTTAAAATGTACTTTCTGTGATGCAAAGCTGATTTTTTTGCAGCATCATTACTCCAGTGTCACATGATCCTTCAAAAATCATTCTAATATGCTGATTTGGTGCCCAAGAACCATTTCTTATTATGATCAATGTAACAATATAAATGTAAATATAAATAGATATATATTTTTTTACCTAAAAACTTTTGAACAGCAGTCTTTGTGGTGTGTCAAAAACGTGGCCAAAAAAAGTCACTTCACACTGTATGAGGTCTACATTTGTAGTACAAAAGAGGAATAATACTCCAATTATTAATTTGGCATAAGTATGAGAACATAAATTCTAAAAGAATATTTAGTTCCTTTGATGATGTTCTGCTCATTAAACATTTACATTATTTTAATATGGCTAATAGCGTTGCTCGAAAAACAACTTAACATGTACAATGTTAAAATCATTCCAGACACAAGCCAAAACATTTCATTATACTATCCAAGAGTACCCAAATGTGTTCTTTAATAAACATTCTAACAAATGCTGTTTGTTAGTTGTACTATGTAAACCAGAAGATGAACTAGAAATGCTCAACAGACTAGGTATGTATTGTGTGTGTGCCATATTAGGGACCACAAACTGTACTCGTAGAGATAATATGGTATAGAAAAGGTGAAACAGTGTATGTCTAAATTTTATATAAAAATTACTATTTAAAAAAAACAAAAACTAAATACCAGCTTGATGCCAAACTCCAGGCAACCGAATCCTAAAGTGTGTAAAATCTTTGTTATCTAAGTTAATCTTGGAGCTAAATGTAAAAAAAAACAAAACAGTATTTTCCCTTCGATATGGAGTTGAATTAAATTTAGTGTTTGCTAACTTTGTATGCATTTTACATTATAAATGGTTTTGTGTAAACTCCTGAATTGTGACACCACAAAAGACCCAGGAGTTGAAATCACACAATCTCTTCATCACATTTCCACACTTGGTTTGTTTTTCAGTTTTGAATTTATTTAAGAATAACTTGAAACAATCAAATGATGTCATTCTCAATATCAAGTTCTGTTTCCCCCTTTTATGTTAGCGCCATCAGCAGTGGAACAAACCACAGTCACATTTAATATGCAAGAGGGAAAAAGGAAAAACAAAAAGTGTAGAAGGTATCACTAAAGTGGGTTTCCAGCTATGCCTGGACAAACCGGAGCGGCGATTCTCAGCATATATGTTTGGCACAGCAAGATAGTTGTACAATTTGTGCCAATTTCCCCTCATTTTCATCCAACATTATAGGGCCAGACACTGTGCAGAGCAAAAGGAAAAAAAAGAGCAACTAAAACAGAAACAGTTTCTTCATGGGGCACTGTCAATTAGCATTCACTGACTAAAAGTCTGCCATCCTGAATTAAAACAAGACAGATAACAAAACAAAACACTTGTAGGAAGCCTATGAGAGAGGTTTATGGGAAGGTTAGATCTCTCTTTTGTAACACTACTTGTTTTTGTCATGAGTGCACCACGAGTGTGGATTGATTTTAGCAAACAGATCAATTCTGTGTGAGAGAGAAAGAGCTGGCTCTGAAGCAAAATGCAGAACACTGGCCATAAAAGAGCAGCACAACAAACAATGCAGTTCCTCAATAAATACAGATTCCCGGACATGAAACTGAGACTGGAGCTGCTCTGTACCTTTGAAAGCATTGCTGCAAATGCAAACGGACTAGGGAAGACCTATGAAACACAAGCCAAAAAATGTCAAAGGGCAGACCCCCCCCAAAAAAAAAACCCCAAGAGACATTCTGAATATTGAGTTAAGTGCACTTTCACAGTTCAACCATAATACATCAATAAAGTTCCACTTCCTCCCTTTGATCTCGTTAAGTTTAGACGGTGATCAGTCCTGCAGGTGTTGAAAACTTCTAACCGTCTCTCCTTTTCATGACTACGAAAGCAAAAAGTGAGTGGGACTTCCTGGCAGACATGACAAGAGATTCCATCCCTTAAAATAAATAATGCTATATCACAGTGCATACAAAAAGGGAACCTTAACACTTACATAAGAGGGACAGAAAGAGCCAAGAGTCCAGTGTGGTTTAATCTACTATTTAGGCACAGGCACACGGTCACCAGAACTTTCCCATTTTACCCCATTTCACACCTGGCCTTACATTTAAACTTGAGTTAAGTGCACTTTCACAGTTCAACCAAAATACATCAAATTTCCACTTCCTCCCTTTGATCTTATTAAGTTTAGATGGTGATCAGTCCTGCAGGTGTTGAAAACTTCTAACCGTCTCTCCTTTTTATGACTACGAAAGCAAAAAGTGAGTGGGACTTCCTGGCAGACATGACAAGAGATTCCATCCCTTAAAATAAATAATGCTATATCACAGTGCATACAAAAAGGGAACCTTAACACTTACATAAGAGGGACAGAAAGAGCCAAGAGTCCAGTGTGGTTTAATCTACTATTTAGGCACAGGCACACGGTCACCAGAACTTTCCCATTTTACCCCATTTCACACCTGGCCTTACATTTAAACTTGATATTTACTTTTAGTTGTTGATGTAGCTGAATTCTCCTTTGACGCACAAATGAGACCTCTGAGGGCGAGTGAGTTCTTTTGTGGATCCCGGTGCCTCAGAGCATGCCGAAGCCTTTGGCGTAAGTGATGGCTTTAAGGAGTCTCTCTCTAAGTTTCTCCTTGGTGGAGTATTCAGGGAGGAGCAGCACGTTGAAGCAAGTATGAGAAGTGGGTAACCTGACCATAGGAGGGGAGGAAGAACGTATTAATTTAAGAAGACTTTGCATATTTATTGCTGTAGAGATGTATATAGATGGACAATGTAATTTACATATGGTAAAACTGTAATTATACACGTATACTTGAACGCTCTTAGTAAAGAGAACGTAATACATCGTTGCAACTTACTAAAATGGTTGTTTCTGAATTTGCATAGCTATGCTACTGTTTTTTTGTAAGCAATAAAAAGCAGGTTTACTTGATTTGATCCCATGAATTCTTAAAAAAAAAAAAAAAAGTGCTACAAAAAAGCACTGGGTGAATATTGAAAAAAAGCATTGAAGAACCATTACGATTATTGAATTATGACATTATTTTCATGACAATTAAGCATGTCCGGAAGGTAGAGGTGTGGAGAAAAAAACAACAATTCAGCTGCATGATGACACAACCATAGGCCTGGTTCACACAGAATGCATTTTTTTCATTCCACTGTGTTACTTTCCCATTGTTTTTCTATGTAAACATGATAGACAGATCTTTGTTTCTCTATTGGCGCTTTTCCACTGCGTGGTACAACTCGGCTCGGTACGGTTCAGTACGGCACGGCACCGTTCGGCTCGGCACGGTTTGCGTTTCCACTGCAGTTCAGTACCGCTTTAGAGTGGGCGGGATTATTCACATGTCGTTATAGTTGTGCCGCCTCTACTACCACGACTCCTAAAAAAACTTTTTCATTCCGCATCGCCCCATCAAGCTCTCGCTGGATCCGCTCCTCTGCTATCAACGAGAGGAACGTCTGTACTTCCGCAACAGACAACAAAACTTTTTGGTTGTTAAAAAAAGGTGCGCTCGTTCAAAACAGTTGCGTTCAATCCTTCGCTGGCTGTGCTGATTTAAATCTAGCGGTTCTTTTGTGTTTGTGTCGCAAGTTCAGTGACGCAGGTAGTGACGATTCTCTCCGGCCAATCCGTGATCAGCAGAGTTTACACGTCACATTTTGGTAACGGTACGGTTCACTTGGAACCACAACCGAAGTGGTACTAAAAAAAGTACCAGGTACGAGGTACTGTACCCAGTGGAAAACCCCCCAAAAGTGAACCGTACCGAGCCGTACCGTGCCGTACCATGCAGTGTAAAAGCGCCATATGTAAACTCACTAGACGGATAGCTTTGACTGCTGGGCTCGCATCTTTTGCAGCATCTCATACATGAGTGCCATGTTTTCAGATCGCCATGCCAAGTTAAGAGAACTTAAAAAAAAAAAAAAATAAATAAAAAATAAAAATAAATAAAAAATAAAAACTTTTCTAAAGACGCTGCATTTTTTCTCAATTCCAACGCCCAGGTCTCACATTTTTCAAAGCAAAAACGTGATCCGAGTCAATGGCCCCATATTCTGACTCAAGATTGAATCGATCCGATACATGATCGTACAACTATTTGAACAAGGTATGATGTAAAAAACCTGAACTCATTATTGAGCGACAGTGTAGAGAGGCAGAATTTGAGTTTACCTGTCTGAGTCAGGGCCATTTTTGGCAATAATCATCTTGAGTTTGCCTAAACCTCCAACTGGAGCTCTATCTGTGCCAGTGGTGAATTGAAGAAACAGCCTCTTCTGCTCCTGCCCGAATGAGTGCACAGTCTCCCAGAAATCCCTGATGTGTGTCAAAAATATCATTTTTAATACACTTTTAATTTCACATAGGAAGTAGTATTTACAACTAGTGGTCGACTGATATTGTGCTTGTAAATGCTGATGTGAATATCTGGAGGGCAAGATGGCTGATGCGTAATATAACGCCCATAATTAAATGACAACAAAACAAATTAAAAATTGCTCACATAAAAATGAATCATTAACAAGATGCTAATCTTGCACAACATTTAGTCGTGATATACCTGAAAACGGAATATTTATTATCCATTGACAAAGCTGTCAGTAGGTTTTGTAACTGGAGAAACAAACTTTAAATGGCCAAATATCAGCCGATCACTGCTAGTAACTATTAAGTCACAGAGAAAATAATAATCCACACAACATTAAAAATTGTATTATACATAATGTAATTATTTTAATAAGCATCCACATACTTAATAATGCAAGAGTCTTTGTTGTATCCACCATCATATTCTGTACTCTCTTCAAGTGCTTGAAAGTCAAGATTCTGCACGAGAAAAACACAAAGTTATGGGTTTATATGTATGGCTCTGCCACATGTGTAAGAACAGCCTGGAAGCAGGTAACAATCTGTAGCCAACTCACCCTGCTACCACATATAAGCAGCTCAATTTCCTCCGGTCGAAACAGATATTTCAGCGGAGATTCATTAGTGACCATGTGGAATCCTCTTCTGAAGGCCTTGAACTGTTTCTCCACACTTTTGTTCAGCATGTACTCTGCATAGATATATATATATATATATATAATCGTTTTCTGTAGAGATGCACTGATACTACAAGGTTTTCTGCTAATCCTGTCCACTAAATAATTGCTATGTGACAGAGAAAGAATCAACTCGCCCCAAATATTTTGATGAGCAGTCACCGTGTGCTAAAGTCATAATGACGGGGTGTGCCACTAAAGTGCTGATGTACCTGCCTAAATCTCCTTCCAGACACAATTTATGCCCTAAATCCGCCTGTATCCTGTACAAGTGCAAACAGACAGCTGCTTCACAGCATACCTTCAATATGAGAACAGGACATGCACTCCCACTTGCAATAATGCTGAAATGTTGCTCTTTGTAAATACATAATCTCATTGTCAATGTACAACATGAAGTTGAATTGCAGTGGAACAAAATGATCTTATGCTTCAAGCAAGCCAAAAGGCCTTTATCATTAATATAAGGCCATGTTAACATAAGATGCGCTCTTGAAAAAAAAGCTCGTTTGGAAAGGCATTACATAGTGTCTTGTTGGATTTTGCAGGATTTGAATCTACAATTTAAGTCTGTCTGCATGTGAAAAACATACATGCCACTATGCCTAAAGTGTCATTTAAATGTATACACAAGCAGAAACTTCAAAAATGTACAGGGAGTGTTCAAAAATGTTATAACATCGTTATAAAAAAGAATCAAAGAATCCTCACAAAACGTATAATGGTTTCCATACAATATTAAGCAGCACAGCTGTTTTCAACATTGATAACAATAAGAAATGTTTCTTGAGCACCAAATCAGCATATTAAAATGATTTATGAAGAATGATGTGGCACTGAAGGCTGCTGAAAATTAGCTTTGCCTTCACAGGAATAAATTACATTTAAAATAAAAAAAAATACTATTTTAAATTGTAATTTCACTTTCTTTTTTGATCAAATAAATTAAGACGTGATGAGCATAAGAGTGCAGAGACCCAATTCGTGCTATGTGTTCACTGGCAGATATGAACATGTTTGTGTTTTTAAATGCTGAATGAATGAATGTAATGCTGGTGTAAAAGTGGACTAACCTTTCTGTTCTCATTGGTAACTGGGATTTTATCTCCTCCTTCCTTTAAATCATACATTAGTGGGTTTCCAAACAGGTCTGTTTGTGAGATCTGGAAAGTAATCATCATGTCTTCTTCCACATTACCTTCATACGCCAACAGGTCCTTCAGACTCTGATAAAGAACCTGAAGAAACAGATGATCGGAACCATTAT